CAAGTCTCAATTTACTACCATCCTCATTCTCATTCTAGACCTATACTTGATAAAAAAACTTTAAAAATAAAAGGTTAATTGTAGATATATATGATTTATGAAAAACCAGTTGCTAGTTATGATATTTTTTCTCAAGGTGTTATTTCAATGCCACGTTCTTCTTCTCTTGCCCTTTTAACACTTCCATTATGAGAGGAACAATCCTTTTTTTCTAAATTTGAACAAGGCCAAGGATAAGAAAGAAAATGTTATAAATAAAAGTCTTCGCTAACTTAGATCCATGGTATTATTATTGATGCACCAAAGAAGAGATAAATTCATGAAGTTGCAAGGATCATTAACAAAAGACATGTTTATTTTATCCCATAATTGGAGGGAAGATCAAGTCAAACCAACTTGTGTTCAAGTGAGAAATTTCGCAAAAGACTTGTTGAGAGAAATCTAAATAAAAGCGACTAAGATAACTAAATTAAACTTGCAAGAAGAGGCTTTTAGCGCAAGTAAATTAATTACACATTCAATATATACTGGCTGGTTGGCTAGATTTGCTAAAAATGTTCTGTATCCTTTTGATTTCTGAGATGAACATAGATAGGTTTGGCTTGAGTCGCTTGACTTGCTAGTCAATAGCAAGTGGATTCAGATTAGAGCTAATTTCTTGGCAGTGTTTAGAAAATAGGCCACTATTGGGCCATAGCTTATGCACATAAGGGATATATATATATCATAGGACCATTTTTCACGGTAGAATGTAGAAAAAAAGAGAGTGAGATACATCAACTAAAATTCTTAAGTCCCAACTAATGAGGATTTTGTAGAACACTGCCTCTTTAGAGTAAGATAAGGTAAGAAATGTACATCTTAGGCCATGAATAAGTCCTATTCAGGTCTCTCATGCAGAATAGATATATCATATCTTCTTCGATGTGGAAGCCTTTAGCTAGCTCAAGTCAATTAATTTAACATTCAATATATACTAGCTGCAAGCTAGATTTGCCAAAAATGTTCTGTATCCTTTTGATTTTTGAGACGTATGTAGATTGGTTTGGCTTGACTTGCTAGTCAATAGCAAGTGGATTCAAATCAGAGTTAATTTCTTGGCTGTGTATAGAGAATAGGCTACTAATGGGCCATAGCTTATGTACATAAGGGATATCTATATATATATATATATATTCATGGTAAAATGTAGAAAAAAAGAAAGTGAGATACATCAACTAAAATTCTTAGGCCATAATTAATAAGGATTTCAGCATGTGAAATGCTACCTCTTTAGAGTAAGATAAGCTAAGAAATGTACATCTTCGGCCATGAATAAGTCTTTTCCAAATCTCCCACGCAGAGTAGATATATCATATCTTCTTTGAAGTAGAGGCCTTTAGCGCAAGTAAATTAATTACACATTCAACATAAATTGGCTGGTTGGCTAGATTTGCTAAAAATGTTCTATATCCTTTTGATTTTTGAGATGAACATAGATAGGTTTGGCTTGAGTCACTTGACTTGCTAGTCAATAGCAAGTGGATTCAAATTAGAGCTAATTTCTTGGCAGTGTTTAGAAATAGGCCACTAATGGGCCATAACTTATGTACATAAGGAATATATATATCATTGGATCATTTTGCATGGTAGAATGTAGAAAAAAAGAGAGTGAGATACATCAACTAAAATTCTTAAGTTGTGACTAATGAGGATTTGCATAACACTGCCTCTTTAGAGTAAGATAAGCTAAGAAATGTACATCTTAGCCATGAATAAGTCTTCTTCAAGTCTCCCACGTGGAGTAGATATATCACATCTTCTTTGATGTAGAAGCCTTTAGTTGAAGTCAATAAATTTCACAATCAATATACACTAGCTGCAAGCTAGATTGGCCAAAAATGTTCTTTATCCTCCTGGTTTCTAAGATGTATGTAGATAGGTTTGGCTTGAATCGCTTGACATGCTAGTCAATAGCAAGTGGATTCAAATTAGAGCTAATTTCTTGGCAGTGTTTAGAAAATAGGCCACTAATGGGCCATAGCTTATGTACATAAGGGATATATATATATATCATTGGACCATTTTGCATGGTAGAATGTAGAAAAAAAGAGAGTGAGATACATCAACTAAAATTTTTAAGTCGTGACTAATGAGGATTTTGCATAACGTTGCCTCTTTAGAGTAAGATAAGCTAAGAAATGTACATCTTAGGCCATGAATAAGTCTTCTTCAAGTCTCCCACGTGGAGTAGATATATCACATCTTCTTTGATGTAGAAGCCTTTAGCTGAAGTTAATGAATTTCACAATCAATATACACTAGCTGCAAGCTAGATTGGCCAAAATTGTTCTTTATCCTCCTGGTTTCTGATATGTATATAGATAGGTTTGGCTTGAATCGCTTGACTTGCTAGTCAATAGCAAGTGGATTCAAATTAGAGCTAATTTCTTGGTAGTGTTTAGAAAATAGGCCACTAATGGGCCATAGCTTATGTACATAAGGTATATATATATCATTGGACTATTTTGCACGGTAGAATGTAGAAAAAAAGAGAGTGAGATACATCAACTAAAATTTTTAAGTCGTGGGTAATGAGGATTTTGCATAACGCTGCCTCTTTAAAGTAAGATAAGGTAAGAAATGTACCTCTTAGGCCATGAATAAGTCTTCTTCAAGTCTCCCACATGGAGTAGATATATCACATCTTCTTTGATGTAGAAGCCTTTAGCTGAAGTCAATTAATTTCACAATCAATATACACTAGCTGCAAGCTAGATTGGCCAAAATTGTTCTTTATCCTCCTGGTTTTTGAGATGTATGTAGATAGGTTTGGCTTGAATCGCTTGGCTTGCTAGTCAATAGCAAGTGGATTCAAATTAGAGCTAATTTCTTGGTAGTGTTTAGAAAATAGGCCACTAATGGGCCACAGCTTATGTACATAAGGGATATATATATCATTGGACTATTTTGCACGGTAGAATGTAGAAAAAAAGAGAGTGAGATACATCAACTAAAATTCTTAAGTCGTGAGTAATGAGGATTTTGCATAACGCTGCCTCTTTAGAGTAAGATAAGCTAAGAAATGTACATCTTAGGCCATGAATAAGTCTTCTTCAAGTCTCCCATGTGGAGTAGATATATCACATCTTCTTTGATGTAGAAGCATTTAGTTGAAGTCAATTAATTTCACAATCAATATACACTAGCTGCAAGCTAGATTGGCCAAATTGTTCTTTATCCTCCTGGTTTCTGAGATGTATGTAGATAGGTTTGGCTTGAATCGCTTGACTTGCTAGTCAATAGCAAGTGGATTCAAATTAGAGCTAATTTCTTGGCAGTGTTTAGAAAATAGGCCACTAATGGGCCATAGCTTATGTGCATAAGGGATATATATATCATTGGACTATTTTGCACGGTAGAATGTAGAAAAAAAGAGAGTGAGATACATCAATTAAAATTCTTAAGTCGTGAGTAATGAGGATTTTGCATAACGCTGCCTCTTTAGAGTAAGATAAGGTAAGAAATGTACATCTTAGGCCATGAATAAGTCTTCTTCAAGTCTCCCACGTTGAGTAGATATATCACATCTTCTTTGATATAGAAGCCTTTAGCTGAAGTCAATTAATTTCACAATCAATATACACTAGCTGCAAGCTAGATTGGCCAAAAATGTTCTTTATCCTTCTGATTTTTGAGAAGTATGTAGATAGGTTTGGCTTGAATCGCTTGACTTGCTTGTCAATAGCAAAGGGATTCAAATTAGAGTTAATTTCTTGGTAGTGTAGAGAAAATAAGGTACTAATGGGCCATAGCTTATGTACATAAGGGATAAATATGTATAAGTGATATATATAAATATATATAAACGATATATATATATAAGGGATATATATATATATATATCAGTGGACCGTTTT